CGGGACAGGCAGGTCCTGTGACCCGCCGTGTGAGGGCTCTGCTGGGACTCTGGTGCGGTCCCATCACCTTCTGCCCCCCTGGGGGGTGGGAGGTAGTGGCCCCTTCTGGCCTTCGGGGGAGGTGCCTCAGTGACCAGGAGTGCCAGCCCGACTCCCGTGTGACCCTGGGTCTCTGAGCCTCCCCGGTACCAGACACTTCAGGTACCGGCAGGTTACTGCTACTGTCCGGGCCTGGGGGGCCCAGAAGCGAGCTCCCCACTGCAGCTGTTACCATCACCATGGTGGCTACTGACCAGGGGTTGGCTCGTCTGGGTCCAGGCTGACCCACCCACAGCTGGGGGGTGAAGTAGGCTGGTCCCCAGGTTCCCAGGTCCCCAACCAGACCCGTTTTGGGCAGCTGCAAAGGTTGTACACAGACTACCGCTGGGGCCCAGCAGAGGGCAGTACAGAGTCTTGGCCCATAAACGTGACCATCAATTTTCCAATGGACACCAGCCACACCGAAAAAAGGGGCTGCTTTTCCTGAGCCTCTCCAAAGCCCCTGGGGTACCTGGGTGGTGTCTGCGGGGAGAGGCGCAGAGTGGGTGAGCGGGGCGTCCGTCTGGAGCTGTCCTGCCAGGGGAGCAAGGATCAACCACAGATGTGGGGGACAGGCGTGTCTTGTGTGCTGACTGGTGACAGGAGTGAGTGAACTGGGGGCCGAAAAGGGTCCAGAACTGAAGCCTGGCCATCACACACTCCGGCCAGCTGGACACGGTGGGCACATGCGTGACCGTCGCTGGCTGGGAGGGCTGCAGGGGATCAGTGTGAGACCTGACGAGGGCGCTCTCTCCCCCGTCTCTGCTCCCGGGGAGAAACGTGTAAGCCGCTGTGAGACGTAGCTCACCACCCAGGGCCTCCACACCACTGGCAGGCTCCGGCCACACATGCGCACGAGCCCACTTCGGGTTTGGGGGAGCGAGGGGCTACGTAAAGGCAAGTGGATGGGGGGATTCCGGGGCAGCGCGGTGCACCCTGGGCAGGACTCGGGGCCTTCCACGTGTCCTCCTCCATCCCCTTCTGCAGTGCCACACTGCCCCCAGTCTGTGCTGCCCCTTCTTAGCAAGAGGGACCGACGACGTCCTCTTTCTTGTTTAAGAGACGTCACCCCGCCCCGGGTTCCGACACGCAGGTCCCTTGCCAGGCCCTTGAGATGAGAGGACACCGGCATGGCCCCTCCTGACCGTGTACCGGAACTGGGCAGCCGGAGCTCCGCCCTCCTGCCCGTGTACCGGAACTGGGCAGCCGGAGCTCCGGAGCCCAGGAAGCGGAGGGCCAGCACACGCACCGGGGCCCGCCCTGCCCCACCCCGCCCGCCCCGTCCCATGGGGAGCCTCACCCGTGCTCCTCCTTCACGCTCAGGTGACACATCTCTCCAAAATCGACGGCGAGATTGCCCAGACCACGCTGGACATCACGAACACCGGCTGCAGGCTGGACATGCACCAGAAGACGCTGGCCGAGCTGGACAAGGACGTGCGGAAGGTCAACGAGCTCATCACCAACAGCGAGAACGAGATCTCCCGGCGCACCATCCTGATCGAGAGGAAGCAGGGCCTCATCAACTTCCTCAACAAGCAGCTGGAGCAGATGGTGTCCGAGCTGGGGGTGAGCAGGCGGGGCAGCGCCGGGCGGCCTTGTGCCCACAGGAGCACGGTCCCTTCCAGAAGTTCCTTTAAAAAACACGTGGGCACATGTGTTTTCTTTAATCAGCCAGAGAGAGAGATGGGCAGAGAGAGAGCGCGCACCCCCATGAGACAGCCGTGTCACAATCCCTTGTCCTCCGTCTCTCCCCGCTTCCAGGACATTGGGCACGTGCATACACATGCCTGGCACGGCGCCAGGCCCAGGACTTGAGCCTTGGTGTTCCAGAACTTCTTACATAGGTTTAGAAATTAATTCACAGGGGAACCAGCAGTTAGCGTAATGGCTATGTCACTGGACTCCCACGTAGTTGACCGTGGTTCGCGTCCCGGACCCAGTGGCTTAAAACTCACGCCGGGCGCGTGTGCGTGTGTGCCCAAGATCCCCAGAGGAGAATGGAGGAGAAGGGATTGCGGCGTGGCCATCCCCCCCTGGGGGGTGATTTCTCACTCTCT